CAGCCAAAAAAAAAAAAAACAAAAAAAAAATCAACAAAGTAATAACTGAAGACCGAAATCTCATAATCTAACAATGCAGTGCGTAGAAACGAAGGAAAGAACCAGCGGTGGCCTGCTATAATTTCAGTTTTCTGTTTTTGCCCAGTTCCCGAACTGAAAATTCCTCACATAAAATTTCACGTGTAAATGAAAGTTAAATTTAAAGTTTCAGGGTTGTGCATTTAGAGAATGCATCGTACTGCATTTCCAGTTTTCCATCTAGCCGATTCTCGAGGCAGGAAATTCGGTACCAAAGCCCCAGATCTGTATGTGTTAGACCAAGGCACAGTTAAAGGCTATATTTACATTTTCGAAACAAAAATTTCGGTTTCCTAGTTATGCAATTGCCAAGTTATAAATTTCAATACTAAATTTTCCCTGTGACCGACGTGACGCTAACACGCGTCAAGACTGAACACAAATTTCGGATTACACATAGACAGGTATCATTCCCCCGAAATTTTAGCTTCCTGGCTTTTAAACTGAAAACCCCGGACAAAATGCACTCGGACACACACAAACACAGCCAGGGTCGTGACAAAATAGGTCTTGTGTGGCAGTTACAAGGCGCATATAAAAGTGGCGTAAAGCACGCGAACTACATCTCACTCTTCCGGGATCAAAACCCCTGGAAAGCTCGTGCTAAAGCACCTATTAAAAGACCGCTACAGATCACCACCACTACAGCAAACGAGTTCAACTAGAAAGCTCAGATAACATACATATGGTAATAGCAACCTGAGAAACCCAGGGTGGAACGCACCCGGCTAGCCCATGCGAAAATGCATTTTTGCTTAGCTTTTTATGCAGGTTTCACTCAAAAACGATTGCATTTCGCAGCGGACGATCGCTATTATCCTCTCCCAGCATTCAGTTCCAGCTCTTCACTGAAAAGCGGAAATGTTTCTAGAGAGATCGTTCTTCGGAAAATCCAAATATGTAAATGAACTGGATGTTGGAAAAAGATGAGGACGGTCCTTTGCTTTAAAATGCACTCCTTTCTGAGTCTGCAGTAAAGTTGAGTACTTCTACCCCCAAGCAGAATTAAGGCCAAACATGGAAGTAGAATATCCCTACGAAGTTTCAGCCTCGCATGTTATCCGATAAACGAAATAGCCACTTGACTACAAATGTCTTTAGGGTTTCCCTAAAGTTTCCCACATGAACGACAAATATTCTGATAAAATTTTAGCCACTGTTTTCCGGCTGGTTTTCAAGTTTGCACTGTGTCATGTGCGAACTTCGACGTGATCGTACGCGCTGCACAAGCGCATACAATGGCTCAAATAGGAATTTGAAATCTTTAGCCCACGTAAGCGTATAGAATATCCCTGCAAAATCCCAGCTTTCTGTCCTGCCTGATTCCCAAAACCGTTCTCTCTCAAGGATATTTACACATTTTTCCGGGGGTCCATACGCGAAGTTAGGCACGTATGGGCGATCTTGCAACGAGAGAGTGACACATGAGGTGAGAATATGGCACCAAAATTTCAGCCTCCCAGCCTTCCTAGTTGCTGAGTTGAAAGTGGGTGACAAAGTTCTCT